CCTGCGGAGCCTGTGGTGGGAAGGGGAGGTGAAGCCGTGCTAGAGGAGCGCGCTGCCGCCTCCGAAAGTTGGAGGAGGAGGAGGAGGAGATCTTCCATGCACAGCGATGTAGCCCTGAACGTGGAACAGCAGCTCGGCTCCTCACCGGTCTGATCCCAGAGCATGGGCTAAAAACGATGTCCCTCTCCCGTGCCGAAAACCCGTGTTTCCTGCTGTTTCTGTTTGTCTTCCAAGCGGTATTTATCCTGATACTCTACCGAGGTGGACCTTCACATGTGTTCCGGGGGTTTTTACACGCACCGCAGGTCCTGGATTACTCCAAACCTCACGATGTGTACACAAACCTCAGCTTGTTTACCCGAGCTCCTAATGAAGACGCTAAGCCCTACTGCTCGGCACAGTCACCGATATTTGGTAGGTATGAACCCACAGTGTTTGAAGGAACTGCCTTGCTACGTGATAACGCTGAAGGCTTTGTAAATGTAAGTTGTGTATTATCCCCAACTTTTCCACTTGAAAACTGTTATGCTGGTTGTAATACTTAACGCTGACAAAGTTTTCTTGCCTTAATTGACCCATTTTTATTAGTTCTGTGAGGAAAAGTACTTTATTAACCTATAAACTTCCAGTATTACGGATTTGGCTGTGCAGAGTTTGTAGAACAGAAGTGAAAACAGTGCATATGGGGTTAATGCCAAGTTAGTAACACTTTGGATTTTTTCCTTTGGTAACTGCATAATTTTGACCTCTGACTCACTGTAACTCCAGGGTTCTTTCTCTCAGCCTTATATCAAGCCTCTATCTCAATAGAAATCAATTAAGTTGGCTTTAAGTATTGTTTGTATGAGAATATAGCTTGGCACCTTGCTCTTCGTGGCCATCTTTTTGGCCTGTGATTGTTATGTGCCCTTCAGACTTAGAAACTTCTCATTTAGACATAAAGGTCTGGTCATAGGCTAATCTGTATTTACACTAGGACCGAGGCAGAGCTGACCTTAAGGGCAGTGTTCATCCAGCTGCTGCACTGCTAAAAACAGTTGAGAAACTGTAAGTAAATATATGGTGAAACCCACAAAGCAAGTTTGTTGGTAGTAAAGTGGTGCATCTCCAATAGTAGTGAATTGGGTCGCCCTGAGACAGGCAGGAATGGTTGAGTTGGTAAGTATGCACCTACAGCTGGTTTGGGGACTCCTATGTAGTAAGTTACTCTTGTCTGGTTTTCTGTATGCACAGGTTTCTGCTTATCCAAGTCTTGAATATACTGCTTGAAACTACTACTTAGTAGTTGCACTGCTGTTCTAGGAAAGCTGATCACCTCACATGAAGCACAGTAAGAGCAAATGGCTCTTACCACTTGGTTTAAGGTGGAAGTATTGTGGAAGGCCAGTGCTGTGGTTACTCTTGTGTCAAGTTGCTTACTTCAGTTAGGGAACTCTGCTTTGGAGGAGCCTTTTTAGACTGCAGTCTTTGTAATGATGCTTGTTCTTCTGGGAAGGTGCCTTCCTTCCTCTGTTGCTGAGGTTAAATGAAATACATGCAGGATGGATGAAACTGCATGATAACTTTTAGGGTATATACTTCAGCATTTCCCTTGGAAACAGCTCTACTGAAATACTCATAGTGCAGGGCCTTTTTGCACAGGTGCCAGTTGGAATGAGCTTTGTGCAGTTTCTGCTCATCGCTCCCTACAGCCCATCAGTTCTTTTGGGAAGCTACAATTCTGTGCTTCAGCCTGACTTGTTTTGTTGGAAAAAGCACAGCAGAAATGTGCCTGCACCCTTCTTGTCTCTGCTGCTGAGAATCTGCTGCCCTGCAAAGAGTCAAATGAGAAATCTTTGGTCTCAAAGAAGACAAGCAACAAAACTGGGTGCAGCTCAGTGCAGCCTGCCAGCCATCAGATAAGTAAGAGTAGTGACCTATATAAACAAGGCAGACACAGAGTAAAATTACACTGATTGGTGCTCTTAGAGCTGTGAGATCTTTTTAAGACCTCTTCTGCCCATCCCTGATTCAGATCAGCTGAATTTAGCTGCAGCTTAACTCTTACTCAGTGATATCTCCCTTTAAATACGAGAAGTAAATTATTCCCTCTGGTATCACTATATGCCAGCCCTTCTGGGTGGTTTGGTTGGGGTTTCTTTTAGCAATGTGTGCCACTCTGCAAGGTGGTTGCCTTTTGTTCTGTATTTGATGGGCATATATGAATAGATACATGAATACTTTATAAATGTCTTGGTCAGCTTCTCTCATGGGACTGAGAGAATGACTGAGACTTGTGAGCCTTTAATTTCCTAACTCCATTAAATGAGACTTCAAAACCATTCTCGAGGACTCCAGTCTCCAGTTCAGAGCCTTGTCCACTCCAGAGCGTGTTAAAGGAACTGGGAGAATGCCAACCAGCTTAAATAGTTTCTGCATCAGGGCTTTCATGAAGTGCAGCATTTATGTATATAGTAGATCATCTCGATAACTGAATGTAAGATCAGCTCATCTGTCTCTCACCTACCTCATAAATCTACAGCATCTTGGCTCTTCCAGGCCTGTGGAGGAAGAATTAAAGTATAATTGCTGAACATCTTTGCCCTGGAGGGACTGGACTTACTGACTGATGTTTCTTTTTTAATGCTTGATAGTGTCCACTGAGCATTTTGTGACCAGCAGCTTGAAAAACATTGTCCTAGATACTCAGTGTCTTCATTAACACTGTGAATAAATCACTCGGGTTCCTTTAAAGTTTCTACACAAATAACCAGTTGCCTGTTCTCTCCTCTTTTGTTCTTGGAAAAAGCAGAGTGTCCTCTGACTTCTTCCCATTGCATGCAAGATGTGCTGTTTCAGCTCAGCTTTTCCTCTTAGCAAGAACTTTGGTGCTAGAAGACTTAGACTTTAAAAGGTACCTTCATGCATGGTGTGTGCTGAATGACTTGGTTTGGCCCGGGAGGTCTTTAACAGTTGGAAGTTCTGTTTGTAACTCTGCTGTTTATAATCTGCTCATGCTCTGGAAGCATTTCTTTTCCTCAAAGCCCTTCTTAGACTAGTTACTGCCTTTCACTCCCTGTCATAACCTTTCCATGAGTGTAACCATCTGTTGCCGTAATGAGTAGGTAGCTCCTGCTACGTTTTCTACTGGAGGCTCTCCTATTAAGAGTTTCTTCTCTTGGATTTAAAGAGCAGTAAAAAGGTAGTAATGCTGAGATTCATTTTCAGGTGCAGTTGAGGCAGCCTTGTGTTCTGGCATTAGAAACTGGTCCTTGAGTTAAGGCTCTCTGCTTTTTTTCTGCTTCTTCATTCAAACAGTGGGAGAATTATACAAGTATGACTCTGTTAATGTAGTGTGTGGTGCTGCATTTTCTCAGTGAGGTATTCATCCATGCTCCTGCTCCCATTTGTTCAGCTTGTGTAAGTCCTGTTTATTCTCTTGGAAATGTGTAGCAAGGAGTTGAGAAGTCATGTCGTTTCTTTCCTAAGATGGGATGGACGTGGTCACAATCAATAGATTCCTCCTGCTAGTCAAATGTGTTGCCTAGAAAGTAAAGCAAGCAAGGAGTGTGCTGTCACTGGCACCAGTAACAAGACAGACAGGGAATTGTGGGGTTTAACTCTACACACTAGAGGTTCATATCAGTTAAACGTTGTGTGATGATACAGGCACAGGAACCAGCCTATGGAGAAATGTCTTGCATGCTTCAGGGTGTTGATCCTGCACCTTGTCTGAATTGGGATCCTGTGCTTTCCAGCACATCTAAGGTGGTTTTTCCTTCTTTCCCAAAGCTGCACTCTAGCAGTTCTGTTTCTCTTTGTTAGTCCAGCCTGCAACTGTTCTGTTCACATCTGGGATTTACTGGATTACAGTGTATTAGCCTTTCGGTAGTTGGGAAGGAAGGAGACTGGAGAGGCACAAAGTAGCTTGTACCAAGCAGTTTTGGGGATGTAAATCACAGGCTAACTTCTTTTCTTCTGTGTTTCCATGGCATATTGAGTTTCTGAGCTGAGGAGTTTGAGGTATGGAGCTTGGGAAAATGTGACATCTTGAAACCCTGGGAAAATGCAGATGTGGCCATCATGAATAGAATCCTAGGATCAACTCAGTTAGAAAAGACCTTCAAGATCAAGTCCATTACCCCAGGACTGCCAAGGCCACCACTAAATCATATGACTGAGGGAAATGAATATGCTTTGGTATGGAAGGAGACAACAGGAGTGAAACTATTGCATGTTACCTTACTCATTCCCGTATGTCTGGATTTAGCCTGGATTGTTTGGAATTGAAGAATTACTGCTACAGAATCTTACTCTGTAATACAAAGAGCCCCGATTGTATTATAGAACACAAAACACTGCTGTTGTATGAGAACAAAAGGGATTAATTCCCTATCTTATATTTTCTTTGGAGCAATGATGTGTAGTTGAAATCCAATCTGAATATAACATTCCTTTAGCAAGCTCCAGTTGTTATCAAATCAGTGGGTAATGGTGCTTCAGTTAAAGATCTGATCATCAGGGAGTTCATAAATCTAAAAAGCAATAAAAACTACAGGTCGCAAACAATGTTGGACTGAAACAGGGTGATCTTAAAGGCAGAAAAAGAAACTGCATAGAATCATAGAATCAGCCAGGTTGGAAAAGACCTTTAACACCATCAAGTCCAACCGTTCCCCCAGCACTGCCAAGGCCAGCACTAACCCCTGGCACTGAGGCCTTGTCTACACAGTGTGTGAACACTTGCAGGGACGGTGACTCCAGCACTGCCCTGGGCAGCCTGTTCCAATGCCTGAGCACCCTCTGGGCAAGGAATTGTTCCTCATCTCCATCTAAACCTGCCCTGGTGCAGCTTGAGGCCGTTTCCTCTTGTCCCATCCCTGGTTCCCTGGGAGCAGAGACCAGCCCCCTCCTGGCTCCATCCTCCTGTCAGGCAGTTGTAGAGAGCGATAAGGTCCCCCCTGAGCCTTCTCTTCTCCAGACTAAACCCCCCAGGTCCCTCAGCCCTTCCTCATCAGACTTGTGCTCCAGGCCCTGCACCAGCTCTGTTGCCCTTCTCTGGCCTTGCTCCAGCACCTCAATGTCTCTCTTGTAGAATCCTGAACACAGAATTCGAGGTACAGCCTCACCAGTGCCCAGCACAGGGGAAATAGAGTAGACGTAGGTAATAACTTTATAAAATCTTAATCATAATTATGACCTAGATTCATGGGCCCACAGCATGATTCTCCGAAGCACTGCTCCTCTGTTTGAGGTATGGCAATGTATTCACACTTCCTACTGAGGGTAACACAGTCAAAATCAAATTCCCCTGCATTTGAGATACTTAGGGAAGGACTGAAAAGTGAGTCAGCTATTGCGAGAGCTTGCTGAGAAGCAAAAGTCAGGTTCTCCTTTCAAAACCAAACCAGACCTAACCAATAAACCCCATGAAGTGGGATTCCCAGCAGATACACCTTTCTGAAAGCATGAGGAATGGGATCACTGGCTGTTTAGATTGACCCTCACAAACTGCCCTTATGTGTTCCTTGAGGAGGGAGACACTTCCCAATACAGGTTTGCCCATCAGAAATGGGAGTTACACTAATGTGCACATACATACTAACAAAACGTTTCCCAGTTCTCAATGGCCAGCTTGAATGTTAGGCCCAAATTTAGTCCCTAAGCCTCGTTAGTGCTCAGAACACCCCAAACTTCCCCCCAAAGCAGTGGAGGGGTGTTGCTGCTTCCTGTCAGTTAAACAGGATGTGGGTGAACATGGGCTCTTTTTCTGTTGTGGTTAGATTTGTAACAGGAACTTGACTATAGAATGGGCTGAAAGAAGAACCTTGTGGGCTCAACTGCATCAATACTTAGACTTGAAACACGCCTGTACTTTGCCATGCTCAAAGGAAAGCTACTCAACACCAGGCCTAAATACCTGCTCTTTCTCTCAGGCTTCAGAGAATGATTGATTTCAGGGGTTTAAGAGGGAGTCTGGCTTACAACATCCTGAAAACTCAGTTTGAGACATCAAGAATGAGCTTGGAAGGAAAAGAAAATCTTATTTACAGATATTTAAAACCAAAACCAAAGTAAACCAAACCACCAATAACTTGCCTGGCAGGCTTCTGGTGCAAAAGCATATGTTGTCTTTGGGTAGCATGGCCTGCAGAGAATTGTTGGTTCTACTTCAAACTCTCATGTGAAATCATCAGCTGTGAATTGTGATTTAGATGAATCTTTCTAGTTCATTTAAGGAATAGATTTTAATCTTCTGCATTTGTGCTCTTTGTTTTCCTATGAGTTGACAGTGGTTGGAGGCCATGAAGAGACACTGGTTTAATATAGAAACAAATAGACCTCTTCTGGTAGTTCTAGACCTTCTCTCTGCCCAGAAGGACAGGCATTGAAATAATTTGTTTCTTGATGTTGTAGCAATAGCAGACCTCTGTTAAAATGGTAAAGCTAACACTTCCTAAAGCATTTATATTCATCCAGGCTTTAAGCTATTTCTTCCCCAACCTGCTGAATATCCTTTTGGACATCCTCCATGCCCATATCAGCAGCCTTCCAGTACCTGAAGGGGGCTACAAGGATGCTGGAGAGGGACTCTGCATCAGGGACCGTAGCGACAGGACAAGGGGTGATGGGTTCAAACTGAAACAGGGAAAGTTCAGATTGGATATAAGGAAGAAGCTCTTCCCTGTGAGGGTGGTGAGGTGCTGGAACAGGGTGCTCAGAGAGGCTGTGGCTGCCCCATCCCTGGCAGTGTTCAAGGCCAGGTTGGACACAGGGACTTGGAGCAACCTGCTCTAGTGGAAGGTGTCCCTGCCCATGGCAGGGGTTTGGAACTACATGATCTTAAGGTCCTTTCCAACCCAAACCAGTTTGCGATTCTATGTGGGTACATCTGTGGTGGCATTACCTGTTCTGCAGTAGGGCTGGTGTCTGAGGTAGCAAACATATGTAGCTAATGTGATAGGTGTGAATGAAGGTTGAGAAACTTTGCTGGTCTTTACTCTGTTTCCCTTTTTTCTGTCTTCTCCTCACAGTCGGACCATTAACCATCACCTTCAGAGTGCTCCCTAGTGAAAAAATGATCATCAGGAAAAACCCTTTCGTTCAGGCTGGTGGCAGCTACAGGCCACCTCACTGCCTGGCCCGCTACAGATCTGCCATCCTTGTAGCCTACAGGAACCAGAAGAAGTACCTTCAACACCTTCTCTACTATATCCATCCTTTCCTGCAGCGCCAGCAGCTCAGTTACACCATCTACTTGATTCAGCAGGTAAAGCTCAATCAGATGTGCCTAGTGGGGTAGCTAAGCTTCCTAATTCAGGGTTAGGTTCTGAACAAGGAACCTAATCCTATTCCTTTGTGGAAGTACCAGTTTCATGCATGGGCTGAGAGGAGGCCAGTTACATGCTGTCCCATCTCCATACCATCATTCTGCTATTGATTGGTTCTGCTTTTTCCCTTGTAGAGGGATGAAGTTGCCATTAAGTAGTAACTTGGATTTTCAGCTCCTCAGGAGTTGAATGTGGCTTGTCTATAGCTTGTCACTGTGGCTACTGAGCAAAACTGGGGACACTAAATGCTAAAGTGAAATTAGGTATTTTTCAGTCTGTATCAGACAAAACCATCTGGTTTGACCATGCTGAGGGGCAACCTGGCTTATGGGTCTTTTAAAAGTGAGCCTTCTTCAGGTGCCCATGGTATATAGCCCCTGGCACAGCATAGTGTACAGCTGAGAACACTGTGAAGAGAATGGGTGACATTTTTAGAGGCTGGGACCTGAAATCTGCAGCCAATATTGATTCATCCCAGGTTCATTCCATCAAATAAGGTTTTTTTGCTTACATAAACGTAAATGGAGTTCTCATCCTTGTTGTTTTGGTGAAGAAATGTAGGTTTGCTTTTCCAGGTGGGAAATGGTACCTTTAACCGAGCAAAGCTGCTCAATGTCGGTGTCCGGGAGGCCCTGAAGGATGAAGACTGGGACTGTCTGCTCCTGCACGACATCGACCTGGTACCTGAGAATGATTATAACCTCTATGTTTGTGATGAGTACTATCCCAAGCACATGGCCAGTGCTATGGATAAGTTTCAGTACACGTAAGTGCCTCAGTTTCCTTTGGATATGTGTATTCTAATTGCATTTTGGCATAGAAAGTAGGAATGGGGACAATGAGAGATACACCTTTAAGAGGTTTTCTGTTTCTTAGTTTTGCAGTAGTGACTTCCCCAGAACAGGGTGCTCTTAACCTTACGTATGCAGTGAGGAACACTGAGGAACAGTTAGGAACAGTTCCCTCCCTGCAGTTCCCTGTTGCACTCTTACCTTAGCCTGGCAAGTGACTGGCAGATTCCTGTTTGCCTTTCCTTCCAGAACAAAAGTAGAGAGTGGGAATTATTGGATCAAGTGGAAGGTGTGTGATAGGATGCAGGTATTTTGAACTGCCCCAAGATGTGACTTTCAAAACCAGTTTTACTTCAGTATGATGGGAGAGAAGGTGGGAGGGATGGGAGGGGTGGAACATGGTAGGGAATTACACTGGGTTTGCTGGATTTTAGCACTGTTACGATGGTGTCTGTAAGGTGTGTGATTGATGTATGTGTGACGTGGATGATGATGTTAGTTTGTGGAGGGCTGGTATTATCCTTCAATACTGATATTTTTTTCCCTTTCTCTTTTAGTCTGCCATATAAGTCCTTTTTTGGGGGTGTATCTGCTCTGACTCCAGAACATTACATGAAGATGAATGGGTTTCCAAACACATACTGGGGCAGTGGTGGTGAAAATGATGACATTGCTACAAGGTACTAATGCTGAAACAGAACCAAGCTGGCTCCTGACCATGTAGCATTACCCTGAGAAAGGAACTGAGATGATGGATGTTCCTTCATGTGGTTGCAGTATCCTTATAATCCAAAATGCTGTTGGCATTGGGAATGGTTAATGAGAGCAGATGCTCAGAATCTCTGAATCCAGTCATTGTGCGCTGGGAGGACAAAGCTTTCATCAGACTCTGGAGGGCAGAATGTTACTTCAGGTCCTTGTGCCTTCAGTGGCTCTGGAGCGTGTCCAAGGGGTTACAACCACCAGTAGCTGACAAGTGACTCCCTTGACATTAACAGTCCCAAGGGAGGGAAGCAATCTGCAGGCTTGATGAATAAAAAACCCAAGAAGGTACTTAATAATGCTCAGCCAGTTGGGAATTTAAGTTATGTGAAGTGCAATTAGGTTGCTCCAGGTGTTATCTAATCACCAATACTTGGAATTAAGGAAGACAAGGAGTTCTGGCTGCAGTGCTGAGGGATGGAGAAGCCTGTGTACTCCTGTGAGTCAGTGACAGCAAATCTGATGGGGTTTCTTGCACTTGAGTTGCCATGGCAGCAGCCCGCTGTACAAGTGAATACAATGAGTTTAGTTCCAGCCTAACTCAAATCCTTCAAGTACAAAACCATGGCAGTAGCTGCTTTATTCAGCTTTGCTGTTGCACTGTGCACCTTTATCTCATGGCAAGCTCATGAGGAGTTCAGTGCACCAGAACTAAAGGCTTTGTGTGGTTTTTGTCTTGCCCAGTGTGACAGGTTACACAGGTTCAGTGGAATGTTCTGTTCCGGGACTGTAGGATTTCTTAGAAAGCAGTATTCTTCTGGGAATTGAAAGCTTTTCTAACATAGAATTCCTCCTTTTCCTTTCAGAGAAATGTTAACTAAAAGAGTGTAGGATTGTTTAGAGATTCAGCGTTTCCTAAAGGAATGGAATGCTGAGGAAATAGATCTTTCCATCATGGGTCTATTCAGCTGTTCTTACTACAGCTAAGGCACCTAACATGGTTTTCAGTACCATGCCAGTTTTGCTGCCCTAGGTTATGTACATCTCAAAATAGCTCGTTGGTGAAGGGGAGTAAATCCTGTGGTGTTTCTCTGAAAGCTCATACTAATGATGAGCAGTGTGGTGGCCACAGGTACACAGAGGCCGGGGCAGTGCCTGTTAAAGATTTGTCCAGCCTCAACCTGCTGGAGCGGGGCCAGAGAAAGGCAACGGAGCTGGTGCAGGGCCTGGAGCACAAGTGTGATGAGGAACAGCTGAGGGACCTGGGGGGTTTAGTCTGGAGAAGAGAAGGCTCAGGGGGACCTTATCACTCTCTACAACTGCCTGACAGGAGGATGGAGCCAGGAGGGGGCTGGTCTCTGCTCCCAGGGAACCAGGGATGGGACAAGAGGAAACGGCCTCAAGCTGCACCAGGGCAGGTTTAGATGGAGCTGAGGAACAATTCCTTCCCCAGAGGGTGCTGAGGCATTGGAACAGGCTGCCCAGGGCAGTGCTGGAGTCACCGTCCCTGCAAGTGTTCACACACTGTGTAGATGAGGCCTCAGTGCCAGGGGTCAGTGCTGGCCTTGGCAGTGCTGGGGGACGGTTGGACCTGATGATCTTAAAGGTCTTTTCCAACCAAGCTGATTCTGTGATTCTAAGTTGGAATGAGCTGCCTGGTCTTGAATGACCAGCTTGATGCACCTACCGGGATTTGGATTTTAGAGGGTACTCACACACTTCTTACTACGTAGCAGCAAAATGATTGTTTGAAATTGGACACTGAAGTGCAGCACTCATCTTAGCAAACACCAGGATCTACCTGTTACTAGAAGCAAACACTACTCAAACTGGAAGCATTTACATGTTAACATTATCAGCTCCAGGGAAGTCTCTTGGGTTCTTCTTAACAGTAAATGAATGTATGGACTCTTCCATGTGATGGTTTTAGCTGAATCTTGTAATGCAAACCCGGTAACAGCAAAGCTAGTTCAGGGTTTGTGCTTCTTGTTGTCTCTTTTATGGAATCTGCTTACATTCAGCAAACAAGAAACCTTGTCTGAAACTCAGTCTGACATGACAGCGTGTCAAACTGTCAGTGTTGTCGTTATGCGGTGGCTCCAGACCAACAAATCCCTTCTGTAGCCTGTGCCAGCTTTGCAGCATTCCTGGTTCAGTCAGCTTGCTGCTGTACCAGTTGTGGTACACGTGTTGCAAACATGCCACTGAGGTGACCTCAGCTGAGCAAACCTTGGTTCTTAGGATCCAAGTGTCTATGTGATGAGGAGGTTTGCACTGGTGAACTACCATAGGTGCCATCAGCAATGGGTTACAGCACCTGAAATGCTGGGTTTAAGAGCTCTGTTCTGGAATTCTGAGCCTTCAGCTCACTCTGCTCCTATCTAACTGCCCTGCAGCTGAGTGTCTCGGGTTGGTTTGGCTGCTGCCTGTGGTTATCAGAGACCACCTGAATGAATGGCACTTCTCAAAGAACAGAGGGAGACTTAATCAGGGACTGTAGTGACAGGACAAGGGGTGATGGGTTCAAACTGAAACAGGGGAAGTTCAGGTTGGATAGAAGGAACAAGTTCTTCCCTGTGAGGGTGCTGAGGTGCTGGCACAGGGTGCCCAGAGAAGC